GTCTGGTTTTGGCTAATGATGTGGAGCTTTTCCACCATACATGGCACCCTTTAAAAATATGTCTTTGAGAGTACTAAAAAGATGTCTCTTTTGATCAATCCTTATACAGAAAAAATGGAGGGAATAAGGTGTAATAGCAGTTAAAAACAGCAATAACAGTGTCAACCCAGAAAGTTCAAAAGTCTGTGTTCTTAACCATTAAACTATAAGTGTAGAAGTTTAGAGAATGTTATATCATTCTGAGCCCTACTCGCAGCTTCATGCCTCATTAAGTATATATTTTACAAGAATCCTGCCTCTCCAAGTCAGAGGTCCTGAACCCTTCTTTCCTGTGCTGCTATCCTGCAAGTTTGGAGAGAGAATGTGTGAATAGATCCACATTGTATCAACCTTCCCTTCCCTGCCTAGTGTCTCTGTGTGATGAGAAGTATCAGTAAGTACAACTCTGGGTTATTGTGTTTTCTTAAGTAACTAACAGCATTAGTGAAACCGTATGTTTGAATAGTTTCCAACCTAAATTATTTTCCAGTTGGAAGATTCCTGCTAGCAGAGTTAATTTTTAGATGATTTTTTTTTTTTTACTGTTAAATTATTTGGCCTCCTTGAAATGCCTCTCTTAATTTACTGCTCATCTTACATTTCTGAGAGCTGCATTTAAAATCAATCTTAATTATTTTTTACCTTTTCTCATCCTAAACTGAAGGTAGGCTTGTTTTGTGTTTGCTATAAGCTTGTGTAGGGTCTACAGAATATAATGTATAGTAGAAAGAGCTGCAGAACTATCCAAAACAAACAAAAACCTCCCAATGAAAAATGCCTTTGGGAAAATACAGACCAAGACAGGAAGAGTTTTAATTATTTTTAAAATTTTAATGCTTCCTAAACCATTCAGTTTTTAGGAAGCACTGGTATCACCCTGTAGGTGCCCATGTTTAGGTTCCATGGCTTCCTAAACCATTCAGTTTTTAGGAAGTACTGGTGTCACCCTGTAGGATAAGCACAGGACTTTAAGGTAGGTTTGAACCACAAGATCAGCAGTTCAAACTCACCAGCCACTCCTCAGAAA